TTCCAGGGAGTGAGGAAGGAGAATAAATTGCTATTGTGGAGATCTGTAGCTTCCAAGCAGGAGAACTATGGTGGGGAAGTCTAACCTCAGAGAAACAGGACTGTTCATGGAAATAGCAGACTCCTTTGAGAAAGTTTCAGCAGGCTTTGAATGCCATTCCATGTTTCTGAGATTATAAATGGGTGATCTTCTAATTTTCTAAATTTACACTTGACACAGCCTGTAATATTCCCTGTGACAGCAAGGCAGTCAGTGTTACTTGGCACTCTTTATCATTTTGCTGGACTAAGCAGGCAGACTGTGTCTAAATGACAGCACAGCTGGGAGACTTGACACCAGATCAGGCCTCTAATGGTCCTTGGAGTTGTTCCCTTGTAAACACTGGAGAGGATCACAAATGGGAATTGTCAGGGATGCTATAACTGTTAAAGCAATCACAAGCAAGCTTGGAGGAAGGAAGCTGACTCCAGCAGTATTCCATTTGCTCTGATTACTGTTATTTTTAAAGCACTTCTAAGTGGAAGCATGTGTGAAAAATGAAGCCAGATATAACCGAAAACCACACAAAAAAAAAACCCAAACCCAATCTGTGGTTCTGCCCCTCTGTCCCACTTAGCAGAGGCAGTGTAAGGCCCAGTTCTCCTTTGTGTAACTCCATTTATTTTAAGCCTTAGTCACAATGTGGAAGTCTGAGCTGACTGGAATTGAAGCCTGATTTAGCATGAGCATTGCATGCAGCCAGGATTCCCTCTCCCATGCACCTCCAGGTGCTGTTTTTCTCCCTCTCCCAAGTTCGCTGGCAGAGTTTGTATTTTCTGGCAGCATTCAGCCGGGGCAGTGAGGATACCCTGCCTACACCAGGGGCTTCCTAAGGGTAACACAAAGGCCAAGAGCAGCCTGTAGTGCTGTATGACACAACGTGTGGTTGTGCTCCAGCACTGTGTGTGTGTGTATGAGATTAGTAGGGCTGCTGGTAAAGACTAACAATTCTTTTAGGTGAGACCCTTGAGTTTACTATTGCTCTCTAGGGCATTGCTTTATACTTTCATTGCTGTTAGAGAATTGACTGCATAAGTACAAAAAAATAGAAAATATGGCTTGGTCTTATTTTTGATTGTGTGTGCTTATACATGCAAAGCTGTGTTGCTCTTGGTTCATGCTGTAGGTCTCCAAGACAGTTTTCATTGTGCTCCCTTTGTGCTGCAAATTTGAGATACCTGATTTTGCATTTGTCTGAAGTAAGGAGCGACATCCAGAAACCAATTTACTGGTCTCAAAGCAGTATAGATGTAGGTTTAGGCAAACTCCATGGGAGATACTAATTCATGGAGGAGCTACAGGTGAAAAGAACTGCAAGAATTAATGTTGCCTTCTTGTGGTGTTACAGAGTTTTTTTAGAGAAAAAAATAGGTAGAATACTACACCTGATAAATTGTTGCTCTGAAGAGGTGGAAAAAACACTTGGTAAATTATTCAGTACATGTTCCTGATAACATAGTGTTTGTTTCTAAAACACTTTCATTTCTACTTTCCAATCCAGACTAATTTTGATGTCCACTACTTCCTAATGGTAATGATTTGTAGCCTGCCACAGTCTTGCTGGGAAATGAAAATTCCTTTTACGTCAAGGCAGAAGACTGGAGCTCAAGAGGTTTAGTTTTTATTTCCTGACTCTGCATTAGGCTTTGTGACTGGGCTCAGAAGCCTTCTTCTGAATAGGAAAGATGATATTCCTTTGCCTCTTTCTCACCTACATTTCAATTCGTTTAGTCAGGACCTGTCTCTTCCTTTTAGATTTAGTTGAATTTGTTTGTTTGTTTGTTTCTGCTTCATTTGGAAATGAAGTGTGTTAACAAAATATCTTATTTTGCAGAAAAATGTAATACTTGAGGCATCTTAAAGCAGAAATTATTTTATTATAATCAGCCCTCAATGGTGGTAATTGCTCACAAAGCAGACAACACTAGTTTCCTGAAAATATTAAGGAAAATAATTTTCTGTACTTTCAGCTCAGATCTTGCAATTAGTTCTGCAGTTTAAAAGTGCAAGCCCACTGTAGTTAGCCTAGAAGAGCTGATGCTGACCACTGTGAACTTGATTCTGCAGGCTGCATTCTGCATGTATGGCAGGAACTCCATTTTCAGTGCCAGATTTTCTCCCTGAGCTGCTTATTTCTTTTCCTGCACGCTCGTTTTTGAATGTTATTGTGTGCTAAGAAACTACTGAGTTTTGTGATGAGATTGTACAGTAAAGCCCATCTCTAACTTCATGGGAGCGTAGATTTAAGGGAAGATTTGCATGGGTGTCATTTCTTGAAGTAAAATAGAAAGGATGGTTGGATGTGAAAAAGACCTTTTCATCTAAAGAAGAACCTGAATAAAGGCATACGTGCTCAAGTTGAATTGTTTTAAAATTGTACACGTGGAGGTCTGTATGTAATGCTGAAGCTTAAAATTGCCAGATCGTTTGATAGGTTCAACCTGAACTATGGATGTGTATAGGGTAGTGTACTGTACTGTCGTATACAGTGGTTAGTGCCAAACCAGCATTATGTTATACTGATGTTTTCAAAACAGTTTATACATCTATAGTCTATAGCTTTAGAAGAGAGATCCATTGTTTTAAAAGGAAGAAAGAGAACAATTCCTCAAGACATGTCTACAAATCAACTATTTCTTTTATGGGGCTGGGTGGTAATGGATAAGTTGTGCCTCTGAGAAACAAATTAATAACTCTTTGGCACAGAAAACCTGGAAAGAAGCAAAGATAAAATTTGGTCACTTTTTTGGTTTGTTTTTTTTTTTTTTTTTTTTTAATCGTCTTAACCATCTAGTAAGATCATAAATGAGCAGAAGTAGTGAAGATGTCTCGAAACAGTAGAGGTATTTGGTACCTACCAATTATGATGCAAATAAATTAACATGAGGCATGTTGTTTGCAATGTTCTCTTTAAAGTACTAAATAAAGGGGAACAACTAGGATATCCAGATCCTCCCAGGAAAGAGGACACAGGCCACTTTTAAAACAAAATCTTCCATTGGTTATGTGGGATCAGTACTCCTGGGAAATAATTCTGTACTTCTCAAGATAATTTACCATGAAATGCAGTAGGTGAAAACCTTGCAGGCAGATACTGATACGGCGAGTCCGTTCTTGGTAGACAGTGTTCAAATGCTGTATCCAAAAAATACAACATAAATGTTGTGCTGCCAGGAACACAGAAATGTACAGAATAGGAACCAAAATAAAATACGTTCACAGATATAGCTTGAGACATAATCTCATGGACTGTGAAAGAGCAAATGTTTTTGACAGTTATTGAAGGAAAACATTATTAGCTTGAATTTCCACATCCCCCTCGAAGTCAGTACTGTTAGGCAAACAATGGGAATTTGTGTAAGTCGCACTTTCAAATTTGATATAGAATATCAGCTTTCATTGAGAGATCTGATATGTTCGTTGCCTTCAGTTCGTATTGTCAACACTTGTGAGCATGGGTTGGCACTGGCACTGCCTGCTGTCAACAGCACCACTTCATTCGTTCCTGCAGTTTTCTCTCTTCAGTCTGGGATGTCAGAAATGCTTCATTGATTGTGCATTGGGAAACTTAATCTGGTTAAATGGATACTGTCCTGTCTCAGAACAGCAGGCAGTTGCAGGTGAGAGTAGCTAAGATGCTAGTAGAGAAGGATGTAGGAAGAGTGGAAGCAAAGACTGGCTGTTCAAATAGGGACAGGGTTTTTTTTTTAACCCTTATGAAAACATCAGAGGAAAGCTGCCTAGGAAAATGGCAGGCTGTCCACTTCTTCACATTTCAAAATGAGACAAGATGCCTTTTAGAAGCTATGTGGCAATGCACAATTTACGAACCTTACTATCTGGGTAAAATGGTGAAATATAGTGGACTGTAGTATATAGGAAGTGAGATGAACTGCTGAGCCTTTACAGCCTTTTAGTCTGTATTCTTTAAAATAAACCAATTGTCCATCTTGGCAATGGTCTTTGTGGTGGAATCTCCTTTTGTGAAGAACAGTTTCAACAAATTTGCAAGAAATGAAATATAAAACTGGATGCATAAGAGGTATTTCTGCCAGTTCCTTATTGTGAACCTCTAAAATGCATAAAATATCTGTGAATTATACACACAAAGGCAGGAAGAAAAGACCAAACCACACTAAGTCCGGTAGTGTATATGACTATTAAAATGTATTCAAGTAGGATCTAATCTAGTGCCCTTTGTAGTCAGCA